AGGGCCCATGCCAACTTTTGTCCCCCTAATAAGAAAATGTCAATCTTTTGTATACACTGATGAGTTTTTTAATCATTATAAAAAATGCGTGATCCCAAGTTGCTCCTTACATAAAAACGAACATAACGCAAATATTATAAAGAAGCTTGTATAAGCTTTTAAAGTTCCTGATACGGTGGTTTAAATAAATCAGCGAATTAGACTTACTAACAATGTTAATAGACATATTTCCTAAAATAACTAAAGTTGCATATAGACTTTCAATATAAAGAAATACACAGATGTAATAATTTTTATGTATTGTGAGAGGCATGTTATACGTAATTAGCAAATTTGCTGATATCAAATGTACACTTCCACAAGTTTGAAAAAAGACACAAAAATCAACTTAATACTTGATCAAACTAAAAGAATTGCACATCTTTGAATTGCAAGAATTGCGAAGCATTTATTGAAATTTTAAGAAATAAACAGAGCCTGGAAGTTTTTTTTCAAATCAATATTTTAATGCTTTAATACCACAAAACTTTAAGAGTGTAAGCACTAGTAAGGTTTAAAAAGATTGAATTTTATCTTTTTCTAATTAAAAATTTGCAAATGATGTAGGCAGTATTCGATTAGAGTAGATGATATCCAGTTACATCAAAGCAGCCTCTGCCATACTAACGCCATTTCTCATGTTACCGTGGACTACCCTGTTAAACTGAGCAAGGAACTGAATGAAAGATGTGGTACTCAACCCATGTGGTGTAGTTTTGGTCATTGAGCAAGTGAATGGCGAAGTCAATTGAGGTATCTTAAAATGGTCAAGTTCACTAGGCTGAAAAATCCAGGACTCGTCTGTACCCAGAATGGGCGGCGTTTTGGTTGGTCGGTGCTGCAAGCTAGGAGCGACCAAATATAAAAAAGTAGAGGAGTTACTTCATCAAACCAATATTAAAAAAAATGCAGTGTATAAAACTAAAAAGAATAATACCTCAGATGGTAATTCTTTTATAATGAAAAATCCATCCATTATATTGCAGGTTTTTTTATCCATCAGCACAAGTGGTAGTGTTCCAGGCGCAGGTAGTAAATAAAGCTACTGGACAAAAAAATTAATTAAGCAGTTCTTTCATGGTCTTGAACAAAACAAGACAGTAACCATCTCGTAGTACATCATTAATAAATCTAAACGAACCAGATAATGATAAAACGTTGAGCGTACATCAACAAAGGATAATGCAACTCATGATGCCAGATAATAATTCTCAGTCATTGAAAATTAAAAAAGTATCACCGGAAGGAAATTTACCTAAATTACAAGAGGTTGCTAGCTATGAGAAAATAGAATACAAATCCTTGAAAAATAAGTTAAACGAGGTTAATAAAAGAATATCAGAACTACAAGATATTGTTTTGGCTCTACAATCAGAAAAGATACTGACAAAAAAAATAGAATGAATTCAAACTACCGACACAAAGCCAATAGAAACAGACTGGATGTTAACAAAATATAACAAACAAGCAATACACGTTTAAAATAATAAAAAGGATATAGGTTTTCCGTCACCGTCAATTTTAAAAAATAAAAATATAGTCACAATGCTTAGTTACAAAAATAAGGAGAACGTTAAAAACCAGAACAAATATACTTGCTTTCACCAAGTATACTATCGTATATAGACTCGAATCCGAATCAAATATCGGTACACCTGCACAGAACAATAAAAACGTAATTGAAAGCCCAGGAACAAAAAGAGATCATAAGCCATCAGTAATATTTAGTAAGGTAAAAAGTTACGCTGCTCTTAACAGGGATTTGAAAAATAAAAACATAAAGTATAAACATTGCTAAGATGAAATGCCAGAAGAGACAAGCAGAACAGACATATAAGGGTAATGATCAGGCACCTTCATCCATCATGCGATCCAGATGATATTAAAAAGGAATAGCTGAAACTATAGAGGACGTAGATTAGCAAAAGAACTGCAAAAGAGAAGAAACATGAACAAGAATATAAAAAATGGTACGAGCACACGGAAAGTTGTAAAAGAGATAAAATATGCGAAGGCATTAAAAAAATCCAAACACAAAAGAAAATGATTTCAATGAAGTTCTGAACAGTATTAACAATTCAATCAGTAAGCTAAGATCGAAAATTACCCACCTGGTACAACAAAACTGCAAAATAAAAATGATTAATAAACCATTATGAATCGCCATCTGGAACGCCAACGTTATAAAAAGCAAAATATTGAAAATAATGAAGTATTTCTTATAACGCACAACCTAGATATTTGTTTACTTTCGGAAACTCACCTGACGGATCAAATGTACCCGAAAATAAAAAAATACAATACTCACCCAAATCGACATCCATATAATGAATCAAATTCCATAATAATAAAAGATAATTTAAACTACAATGTCCAAAATAGCATACAAAAGATAAATGCCAACTAACGTCAATTGAAATAAAAACAGAAAAACGGAAACTCGTTTGTTGTTGCAATATACTTACCCCCCAAATTCAACTTAAAAAAGGATGATTATATCAAAATTCTACAGGAACTAAGAGAAACATTCATATTAGGTAGGGAGATTAATGCCAAACATGTCTCATGGGGATCTAGATTGTCTACATCAAAAGAAAAGGAATTGAAAGCAGCAGCAAATTGTGACGGTTGTCATATCCACTCGACTGGTAAGCCAAAATAATCGCTCACTGACGTAAATAGAATGCAAGATGTATTGGACATATTTATAATAAAACAAAATAGTCACAAATTGCGTAAGTTTGGAAGATAGTTGTGACCTGAACTTTGACCATTCTGCTGTCATCTTAAACCGGAATGCAAAAGCGAACGGATTGGGAGAAACAGATATTGAAAATTCAATTGAACTAAGATGTACTCGTATTATAAACATTAGACAACAACTGGAAGGAAAAAGAGAGAAAAATAAAACAAGAAGCAACATGGCAAAATACGAAAAAATATATACAAAAAACAAATAACAACACATACCCTAAGGAAATAAAAGAATTACTTAGTGCAAAGAGAAAAAGTGAAAAAAGTGGCAGTTGACGAGAGGGTCTCTCAACTGATAGCAGAGGCAGATAAAATTATATTACCTGCCTCTCAAAAGAGACAGATAAAAATATATTAAATAGAAACTTACATCAAAAAATAACACCAGATGAAAAAATTTATTATTCACTGTGGAAGATTACAGAAAAACTTAAGAAACATATGCAGATTCCAATTATAAAAACAACAAACAATATTTGGGCAAAAACAAATGAAAAAAAGCACATACATTTGTAAAGTATTTGGAAGAATTATTTAAACAACATATAGTAACAAGTAATAACATACAAAATGAAGATCTACGTGCTGAAGTAAATATTTATTTTATTTATTTATTTATTTATTTATACTTTATTTTCTATATTTTTACAAAATTTGCTTAAACTAAGAGAATAAGAAATATAGCATTATTATTTAACAATAAAATAGTGTAAATGCCACAATAGTTTAATTAACAGTGTTGTTATTTAAATCTGCAATTACTTAATGCTTTAATTACTAGAAAAATTTTTTTTTTATTTTCCACAATTATTTGTTTCAATTTACCTTTACTAAACTAAAAAATAATTAACTTAAAGAATTTTTTAAATCTTATATTTTACTTATATTATACATATTTATTCAATATACTTATATTATACTTATAATATCAAACTATATTATTTAACAAATTATCTACCTCACCATGCTCAAAATTTAAAAGCCATTTTTTTTACATTTTTCACAAAATTGTTTAAATTCCTAATAGCACGTATGTACATGTTCAGGAAGTTTATTAAACAAGCGAACAGAAGTTATGTCAAAAAAGTTTCGGTAATTTGTAGTTCTAAAAACTGGAAAATTAACTAGAAATCTCTGATTAATACGTAAACCATAACGATTTGAACATATTTTTGCAAAATCAATTTTATTTTTATAAGTACCACCCCAACAGCTTATGCCATATTGTAACTTAGAGTGAAAAATGCCATAATAAAACATCAGTAGAATTTTTTGCGAACAAATTTTATTCAAGCTATAAAAGTTACGCAAAGTAGAGCGCAAATAAGATTTTAGAGCGTTTGTGTGCGCAGACCAATTCAACATACTATCAATAAATACACCTAAATATTTGAATTGATTGACTACTTCTACTGAGAAACACTCGGAGTTACAATAGGCAGAATGTGTATTTCTATCATTATGATCAGTACAGCTATTCATAAAAACATTTTTGCAACTAGATGAATGAAAAACAAGATTGATATCAACAAGTTCCTTCTGTGTAAGATTAAAAAACATCAATTTAGTTTTATCACTTACAATCAGCCAATGTCGAAATAACCAATATCTTAATAAACTAAGATCTTTGTTGATCGCACACGTTAAATTAAGTGGACTATTGACAGAATAAGAAATAGCAAGATCATCAGCAAAAGCTGTTAAATTACCATCAAATTCCAAATCAAACAGTGAATTTATATATATAAGAAATAGTATAGGTTGCATAACTGATCCTTGTGGAACTCCCAACCTAATATACTGAATACTACTTAGTTGGCTACCAATTTTGACTCTTTGTGTTCTACATTCCAAGTAAGACTTAAGCCAATCAAACGTAAAACCACGAAAACCTAGCGCAAATAATTTATTTAAAAGATTTTTATGATTCACCATGTCAAAAGCCTTAGTAACCTCAACAAACAGACCTGCACAATTTCGCTTGTTATCTAGGCCTTCATTTATAAACGAGCAAAAATTTAATAACGCATCTTCAGTTGATACACCTTTTTTAAAGCCAAACTGTTTCGAACTAAAAAAGTTCAATTCATTTAAGTATTTTAAAATTCTTACTTTTATAGCTTTTTCAAAAATTTTAGAAATTGTAGGAAGTAAGGAAATAGCCCTGTAATTATTTGTGACAGATTTATCGCCTTTTTTGAAGAGTGGAACTGGTCAGGAAATAAGCCCGAAAGAACACTAAAATTGAAAATATAAGCTAGAACATCTATAATATTAAAAGCAATTTCCTTCAACAATTTATTGGAAATATTATCAATCCCTACAGAGTTTGAATTACTTAGAGACCGAATAATTTGGAGAAGCTCAAGAACGGAAAAGCCATCAAAAACAAAGCTATTACGCACACTATTTACTTCCATTGTACTGTAATCATAATTAGAACCCAGACCAGAAGACAATTTTACAGCAACTGAAGAAAAATGCTTATTGAACTCATTAGCAATTAGAAACTCATCTGTTATCAATAGTCCATTATTCATCAATTCCAATTTCTTATTATTACTCGAGTTCTTGTTGAGCGAGTTATTAACTAGCCTCCACTCGTTCTTTATGTTACCATTACATCTGATAAATTCATTATGATAAAATCTATCACGGCATTACGCAATATCTTTTTTATTACCTTACTAACAGCTTATTATAACGCTTTTTCAATTTCCATAAGAATGGTGCTTATATAACTTGACTCTTAATTTGTTTTTCATTTTCACTTTTCTCAACAAGACATCATTCATCCACAGTTTTAACTTTTTATTTTTCACACTTGGTCTAACGCTAAATGTACATTGGGAAATATAGCTGCTAAAAATTTCAATGAATTTATTTTATGCCGAACTAGCATTTGATTCATTGTAAACAGCATCCCAAAATTCATACAGAAGCATGTTATTTAGTCTATTATAATCTATTTTTGTAATGGAAGCAGTAATAGGTGTATTATTTGTTTTCTCAACCTTTAAAGACTTAACAAGTAGTCCAGTCATGCAGTTATCTGTAAATTAAACACACCTTTTTCATCTCCAAAGGAATAACACCAAAACGAGCATGAATATGTTCTAAACAAGACCCAGAACTAATTCTAGTACATAGGTTCATTAACAAAAGAAAACAGTCCGTTATCGACTAAAATTGAAAGATAATAATCAATATTTTCTGTATTGCTTAAAGAGTCTAAATTAAAGTCACCAACAATTATCAAATTATAAGAATTTATATTTAAAAGCAAATTATTGAATTCATTAAGAAATATATTAACTGAACAACTGTGTAGCCTGTAAACACACATAAAAGAAAGAGAAATATCATTAATTTTACAATCAATTTTTAAAATATTAGCAGATTCAAGACTATAATTTGTAATATTTGTAATATTTTTAATGTGAAAAATTATTGAATTCATTAAGAAATATATTAACTGAACAACTGTGTAGCCTGTAAACACACATAAAAGAAAGAGAAATATCATTAATTTTACAATCAATTTTTAAAATATTAGCAGATTCAAGACTATAATTTGTAATATTTGAATACGAATAAGTATTTTTTACGAATACACCCACCCCACCAGCAGCATACGATTTGCAAAAGTATTCATTAGTATTTGCAAAAAAAGAACAATTAGGAATGTTATACTCAACTAATTCATTTTCAAATATCCAAATTTCAGAAACAAAAATTAAGTCCGGCTTATTAACAAAAGTTTCTAAATGCACTAGCAATAAATCGAAATTTTGTCTTAAACTTCTTATATTTTGATGTACAATAAAAAACATGTTATCATCAGAGGAAGTTTCGGAAACACTATTACAATTTAAGACGGAATTATCACTATAACTAATATCAAAATCTAAATCTAAGTTATTTTGTTCAAAAATCATTTACCTAGAGGTTTCATATAATTGTACAACGCCAGTCTTGCTCTTTGTAGATGCTCTCTGTACTTACTAGTCATGTGGCTTCTGTATGTCTTCAAATCATTAGCTACTTCCTTTTGAGAGATACCAATCTGTTTAGCAGGCGAAAATAAATAATCATATTATTTGCAGGTGTCATATTATTTGAAGTAGAACTTGATAAAGGTTTCGTCACTTCGTTGTTTTCATTTGTTAACAAAATTTGGTAGGTTCAAAAGTTTTATATATACAAGTCTGCAGATTCCGCAAGTATTACTAAGGCAAGATAAAGATAAAATCGAAAAAGGCTTCAAAAGAAAAAAAGCTTCAGTGCCCGATTTGATCACTGCCGAAATACTGATACAGCTGCCAAGGATAGGTATATTATTTTTAAGAAGAAATAAAACAATTTGCTGTTAAGCATTATGAAAGGTTAGCAATACGCGCTAACATCGAAGCGTCAAACAACCTGATCGCGTATCTCGTTTTTTTTCTCACAAAAAGTGAGTTAATAAAAAATTCACTTTCAAATCAGAATTCTCAGTATTTTCTAATGGATATTTTACTTTTTAAATAAGATTGCTCATTTTTTCAATTCGATTTTTGCATTTTTTCTCAAATTATCGATTTAACGTTTCACTTTCAAAAACAAAGTGAAAAAATTTTGTAAGCATTTTATAAAGTAATTCTTCTCACTCAAAAATTACCTTATATTGGTAAATTATAGTTACTCACTTTCTTCTCACTTTCCTAGTAAAATAGCGAGATAGACGACGTTTGAAGTTGGCCTTAATTCCAATAAAAAAAAAAATGTTATTTTTTGCTAGCCAAAAATTGAAAAATAAGAAAAATAACCTGCCTTCATTGTGTGTTTTTACTTTATTCTGCAGAAAAAAAATGTTGATTATAGTCACGGCTGACAGAAATACAGGCCTGGACCGTAAGAGAGAGTGATAGTTCACTGCTGACGAATTTACACGTATTCTTATGGAATCTGTAGAGGCTTCTTTTTAACATCATAAATCTCCAACAAGATCAATTTTTTCAAACTTTTAATTAGAAAAAGTTAAAATTCAATCTTTTTCTACTTTACTAGTGCTTACATTCTTAAAGTTTTGTGTTATTAAAACATTAAAAATTGATTTAAAAAAAACCTTCCAAGAAAAAAAATTTTTTTTCTTTCGAAGTATTTAGCTCATTTTGGTGTATTTTTTCAAATTTGAGAAAATATACATTTGAAATTAACAAGTTTGCTAATTTTGCATGATATGTCTCCCAAATTCCATACTTCTTACATAATAAACATATATGTATATTATATAACTTTCATGTATTTACTTCATTGATTAAATTTATATGCTTCATAATTCAAAAAAATTATTGTGCTTGTGAATTCTTTTTATATTAAAAGTCCATATAATTCTTTTATATATAGGTATATATTATATTGTATGTATGTGATTTTAATTTCATTAGGAAATATTTTCACATTGTTAATAATATTGCATTAGTAGCTTTAAAACTTATACAAAATTTCTTTAATACATATTTTTATGATGTTTGTTTTTATATAGGGGACAACTTGAAACGATGCATTTTTTATAATGATTATAAAACATTAAAAGCACTATCATAATTATAAAACTTAAAATCAAATAATTACAAACTAATAAAATTTTAATAAAATCTAATAAAATTTTTATTAACTTTACTTTAAGTCATGCATTCTACACTAGAAAATATAGCACCAAATTTTTTCATTCACTGTACTAACATTTTTACTCTCAATTCTCTCAGATATGTGGTCTGACATGGCGGTGCAAAAAAAATGTGGAGAGAATTCGAAAATATATTTAATCAAAATTATAGTTAAAATTTTGAATTGAAATTTGAATTTTTGATATGTTGTTCAGAAAAATCCAAATTCCATGTAAGTATAAAAATTTTTAGGTTTTAGTCAACTTTTCGTATAGAAAACTCGAAATGAAGATAAGCAAAAATCATAATTTTTCTAAAAAAACAACAAAAAAAAAATGGTTCTTCAGAAATGTCATTTCGACAAAAATACATATACAATTTTCACAAAAAATGCAGAGTCCAGGTCTTGATCTTTTGTAATGTCAAGATTATAGCATAATTTTAAAACTTACATGTCAGTACATAAGGTATGGTAATGCTTGAGAAACCTGTTGATCAACTTTGACAACCCAACCGAAAAGATTTCAATCGCAAATAGAAAACATTAAGATTGAAGAACTAGGAAAGGAGAAGCAACTCGTTTAAGTTATTTTTGGTGTTACGTTTCATATAAAGTTATTAAAAAAAGAAAAGTGTAATTTCATATTTTATGTTCATATGTACACATATGCATAATAAAGATTGTATATTTTAATTTGTGTGATCGTTTTGTGTATAATTTCAAAATTGCAAGATCAAAAAGAATGAGCTCATCAATTCCACTGAATTCACAAAAGTCAACAGCCGAAACAGCTACTGTTGTCAGTAAAAGCGAGATATATTTGTATGATATGCCTGCTATTGAGCGACATAGATTATGTTCAATATTGGATGAGTCTGATGTATGGCAAACACTAGCTGTTCAATATATGGGCTATGGAAATGCGGACTTACTTGTTTGTTTTAAAAATTATATGTATTTCAAAATCTCCTATTATATAAAATTGTTTCAGATAGCCAAACGATTAGCTCAAGCAGGAAACTCACCATCAGATGAATTACTGAATATGTGGGGTGAACATAATCATACAATAACAGAACTATATATTTTATTGTACAGGTTGTTACATTTTGTTAATTTCGAAGCAATAAAAATTATATATCGCTTATTAAAAGTGAATTATTTTCAATTTTTGCATTAAATCTTCTATTCTTCTAGAATGAAACATCATGCGGCCATGAATTCAATACGCAATCTTGTAGAAAAAAAATATCAAGATTTAATACCATCGTCATATTTCGAACAACTAACATCTGAACAACCAGATTGGAAGCAAATACTACCAAATAGCGATGATAAAAAACAATGGCAGAACCAAGTTTCAAACTCTAATAATGAATCAGAAATAACCAGTACAACAGGTAATTCCGCAAGCATATATGGTGCAGAAAATTTCATAAAACAAAGAGACGTTAGTAGATATGCTGGTGCAATACCACAAATTAATTATTTTGAACTATCCGACGCCACAGGAGGCTGGGATGATAGATGCATATTGGGTAAAGGGGGTTTTGGTACTGTATATAAAGGTAATTGGAAATTAACACCAGTTGCTATTAAGCGTATACAGTATAATGACAGACATAGCAATCAGACAGCTATTAATAAAATACAAATTGAACAAAGTTTAAATGAAATGAAACATTTAAATTCATATAGACATGACAATATTTTAACGTTGTATGGTTACTGTATTACAAATAATGAACAATGTCTCGTATATCAGCTAATGGCAGGAGGTTCGTTAGAACAAAGACTAAACCCCTTTAGTAAATATCCGCCGTTATCTTGGAAGCAAAGACTAAATATTGCCCAAGGAACGGCAAGGTTAGTATATGTAAAAAATTTAAAGATTTGAAATATTAAAATTTCTTTTTTCCAGAGGTTTGCAATTTTTACATACTTTACATGAAAAGCCTTTGATTCATGGAGATATAAAACCAGCGAATATTCTTTTAGATCCTTGTTGCATTCCAAAGATAGGCGATTTTGGTTTAGCCAGAGAAGGTCCAAATGCACTAAATTCATCCATCGAGGTATCAAAAGTATATGGTACCAAGCCGTATTTGCCATTGGAATTTCTGACTGCACGTTCATTAAGCACTAAAATTGATGTATATAGTTTTGGAGTTGTATTACTGGAGTTATCTTCTGGGTTAAGAGCTTATGATAAAAAACGGGTGCATAAATTCTTGACGAAGCATATTTTAACAAAACTATTAGAAAATGAGCCTATTCAAGCATTCATGGACAACAACTTGCCATTTGACAGCAATGGTATCAACGTATCCAAAGCTTTCATTGGCTTGGGGCAAAATTGTATAGCCGAAAAACCTGAAAATAGGCCAGAGATGGTCACCGTGTTGGAACATCTTTTGGGAGTATGTGTTACTGAGCATTAAACTATAATAACCTTAGTGGTATTTTGATAATTTTTAATATTTTACATTCCATTATATTGAATTACGACTTTATTTTGTATGTATAAATCAAAATCACAAAAATATTTGGCACAAAAATGTCGATGCTATTTCAATGAATTTTATCACTAATATGTACTAAAGTCGCTGTCGCTATCTGTATGATCTAGATTGATGCTGTCAGATCCTTCACTGTCAGATGTAATTTGAGAATCAACATATTCCAAATCACTGCATCCATTTTTCTTCCTTATTAAATCGCCCCAAATAAAAGAAATTTCACAGATTGGGCAGATTCCTTCAATAGGTACATATTGCCCAGGTTCCAAGCACTGACTCGCAAGACAAGTTATATGACAGGTTAAAACACATTTAGGATTTATACAAGTTATTTTAGATCTACTACAGTTTTCTATTATTTTCATGCACATATGACACTCAATTAAACGGCTTTTATATGGAGTTAAGTTTTCAGATTCACTTACCCTTGATCTTTTTTTTTTTATTAATACAGATCCGTATTCAACTTTCATATGTAATGGAGGAATAATGTCGGACTGCAACAATAAGATTTTTATATACATATGTAATTTTTTAAAATATTACATTTTACAGGGAAGTTTTTGCGGTATTCATTTAGAAACCAACGTATCGTTAGCGGCAATCTATTCCAAGGACCTATTTTCAACATGTGTGACAAAATTCGAAAATGGTGCTCAAAATTTGTCTCTTTTCTAAGCTTTTTATGTAAAGCAGTATAACATTTTAAACGAGATGATTTCCCGGGCCATTGCCAAGCCCACTCAAACTGTAATATGAAAATAGTTTTAATAAGTTTGCCGCCATTTCATGTACATACATACATATGTAAAAACAATATATGTATGTTATATGTAAATACTTCACTTGCAATGCTGAAATGTTATTTGGAAATCCATGCACAATCATCACCATTACCCATGGCCCTTTGTTACTAGTTTTTCTGGCACCTCCGAAGTCGATACCCTTGTTATGTTGCTTAATTCTTCGATTTGGATTCACTGTGTAGCCTACATAGCAACGGCCTCTATACTTTGGATTTGCACTTTTACTGCATAGCAAGTAAACACCATAAAAATCTTCTATTTTAAAAGGTGACCCCATATTCCATAACATAAAACAAAATTTTAAAATTTAAAAAAAGGATGCAAACAATTTATTTTTATGTATGTACATACATACATATGTCTTTATGTGGTGGAACCACCGCACGCTGTCAAACACTTTTAACAGCGATACTTGACTTCCAAAACGCAGCACATAAAATTTTAAAATACGGTTTAAATACCGTCTAAATACAGTTTATGGCAAATTCTTAAACGCCAAATTTTACAAAATCTGAGTTGTCTGAGTTTACGAGTACTCTACTGCGTTTTTACTTTCAGTCAGTCTGACGTAGTAATTCAGTAAATAAATTTGATGTATTGAGTGACTATCATTACGTTAAAAATAATATAAAAAATACTTTTTTGTTGATTTTTAATATGTAAGTATAAAATTATTTTAAATCTAAAAAAAATTTTTTTTTTTGTTTTCACGTTTACGGATGATCAAAATTGAAAGTCAATTACGGGTAAAAAGTTTACTACATTTCTGTCCGTAAAAGTTTTATACGTCAGACAGTTTGCAGACTGAAAACAAAATTTTGACGTTAAAGAATTTGCGGTTACACACTTTTAGGAAAAAAAACTTGATAATTAGAATTATATTGCTGGAAATATATGCCAGTTTCCGTGACTTCAATAATGCTTTAAAAAAGATTTAAGTACAGTATTAATACGGTATTAGTACCGTCTCGGAGCTTTCAATAGCTTTACATTGTAAAAAAAACTACTAAAGCTTTTGATACATTTTGGAATACAATTTTTACCATATCAATACAACTTTGACATTTGTTTGAAAATTTCAATTTAAAGTTCTGTGCAAATGTTAATTTTAAAAAAATGAATGTGTTCGCAAATATTGTTGTAAATAATTCAATTGAATTGAATGGGAAACCGGTTCTACTTCAAGGATATCATTATATATTTTGTTCCATAACGTGGATTTTTTAAAACGTTTTGATACGAATTCACTTTCGTATTTCAGCCTCACTGTAATCAATAATTTTTTCCTATCCACGGTCCATTTCTTATTACTGCAAAAATTAAATGTTAAATCAATATTACATTTAATGAATTAAGGTATAACTTACTTCTCTTTTTCCATTTTTTTTTCAAATTTTAAAAATAACATATACGTGAAGGTTTAAAAAAACTTTTTTGTTTATGAATTTGAAATATGACAAATGACACTAAATTTTGTATAACTAACAAACGTTACCACACCACTGGAAAAATAGCATTCTTATGCTTTATTTTGGAAAAAACTTGATAGCTAGCACTTTATTGCTGAAAATATATGCTAGTTTATTTTATCGGTTATTTCTGGTAACATTTATATGACAAGGTATAAGAAAAGCGTGCTCGATTTTTTCGATACCCGATTTACTTTTATTTTACGTCTCCATTACGTATAAAACGCATTTTGGAAAAGTGTACAATGTCAAGAGCTTTTAGTAAACTTTATGGAATTTGATACTTTGTAAAATTTTACGTCTTAAGCGCATTATTGAAGTCACGGTTTATTTTATTGGTTATTTATGGCAACATTTATATGACAAGGTATAAGAAAAGCCTGTTCGATTTTCCGTGACTTCAATAATGCGCTTACGATGTAAATTTTACAAAGTATCAAATTTCAAAAAGTTTAGTAAAAGCTCTTGACATTGTATACTTTTCCTAAATGCGTTTTATACGTAGTCGAGACGCAAAATAAAAGTAAATCGGGTATCAAAAAAATCGATTACGGATTAAAATTAAAAAAAAATTTGTTGTTCACGTTTTCAGAAGAGATGATGACTATTAACGTGAAAAGCGAAAATAATCTGTTATATTAGTTTTCTTAAAATTTCCATTAGGTTTCCTTCACGACTGATACTATTTTTGTTATGTCAAGGTATCATTCAAAACTTGTGTGTATGTATTACGATTATTGAGTTTGTTTTTATATTATTAAACTTTGAGTCAAAAATAGATATTTTAAGTTGAAAACAGAACAAAAGCATTTTTCCACGGTGAACCGTCAGAGGTTTTATGTCATACACATATTTAAATAGGACTAAGAAGTAAGAATCAAGCGAAATTACTGCTGCGGTTTAAATACGGACGGCTAAATAGCTTAAATTACTATCTGGCAGTTCTTTTTGACTTTACCTGTCCCCATGTACATGTGAAATTATAGGTGAAAGACTGAGCAATTGACTTTCTGGGTTATCAACGAAAATAGTATAGCGTGTTGTTCTCACCTTAGGTTTCGTTTTTACTATTATATAAATAGACTGACCGTATAGTATGTCTCTCTTTCTCTTTTTAATTAAATTTCCTATTTCATTATTTTCCGTTAATCTCGTTCTTTGGCGAAGTAAATGTAGGTAGCATTTACGTTCTCGTTTTCTCGTATCCTTCGATGCAACACTTTCGGGGCATTTCGGTTTATACGAAGGTAATGAGATATACCGTGACTTCAATAATGCTTTAAAAAAGATTTAAGTACGGTATTAATACGGTATTAGTACCGTCTGAGAGCTTTCAATACCTTTACATTGTAAAAAAAACTGCTAAAGCTTTTGATACATTTTGGAATACAATTTTTACCATATCAATACAACTTTGACATTTGTTTGAAAATTTCAATTTAAAGTTCTGCGCAAATGTTAATTTTAAAAAAATGAATGTGTTCGCAAATATTGTTGTAAATAATTCAATTGATTTTAATAGTAGCAACAGTTCAAGTAGTTGCAGCAATTTTAATAAAATTAAACAAATTATAACATTAAGAAAGCAAAAGAGATACTGCCTTTTTATAAATAAAAAAATTAAGACAGAATCAAAAAGGAAAATTCCAAAAATAATTAATTTTGAAACTATCATTGATAAATATCCAGACGATGTGTTTTTTAATCATTTTCGAATGACTAGAAACACTTTTGAAGTAATTACATATGAGTATTTATAATCCAAAATAAGTGCGATCGTTTTTTTTGTACTTATTGTTTTTTAGATGTTATATAATAAGTTGAAACCAACATTTAAAAATTGCTACCTTGAGTGATCGAAAAATTACAGCTTTTCTTTTAAAAGTACACATTATGTTCAAAAATTTGTTGTATAATTCTGTTGAATTGAATGGGAAATCAGGTTCTACTTCAAGGATCTCATTACATATTTTGTTCTATAACGTGGATTTTTTAAAACGTTTTGATACGAATTCACTTTCGTATTTCAGCCTCACTGTAATCAATAATTTTTTCCTATTCACGGTCCATTTCTTATTACTGTAAAAATTAAATGTTAAATCAATATTGCATTTAATGAATTAAGGTATAGCTTACTGCTCTTTTTCCATTTTTTTTCAAATTTTAAAGATAACATATACGTGAATGTTTTCAAAAAACTTTTTTGTTTATGAATTTGAAATATGACAAAAGACACTAAATTTTGTATAGTACACTAAATAGTGTATATAATATATATATGTATATACAATATAATAAATTATATAGTTTTAATAACATACAAATTTATTTATATAAATTATATAACTATTTATTTTATTTAATAACACAAAAAATTAGTATAATTATTCACTAAATTAAAATTAAAATTAAATTTTAAACAGGAAATAAATTATTTTGCCGCTCAGCAACACAGCCTTCCCGTACGAAATTTATATATGGACTGAGGAAATGCTATAGCTTCTTTATTTGTCCTATACAAACAAATGCAAAAATGTTAACATGTTACATGTCTTGTGCATTATACTCGTAGAAGTTTAGGATTTCTTCACTGTTCATTGAACAGTGTTTTTTTTTTGCATGTACATACATATATGTATTTGATATAAAATTTTATGGAGAGGAGAATATAAAATAAAAGCGGATCTGAGAAGTAGGCAATTATTTAAAAATATATACATACATATATCTTGCATTATAGAAATATATGCATTATTTTGTTTTCTTGTTTTGTGTAATTCCAAAGGATTATACAACATTGAATATTTTTATAATCCTCTGAATGAGATTTTTATTTGAACTTTTTACTCGTATGATAATGTGTATAACTTTTATTCAAGATGGACATTATTGGTCTGTCTAGTACACCCATATGCTGTTAGTCGCATCACTAGATGTGATGGGATATTACGAAAAAGAATTTCGAATTACCGAATTATCAAGGAATTACAAGGTTTTCAAGAACAACCTACCACGTTAAGTGGTGCGATTAACAAGATATGGGTGTCAGTGTTTAAAAATTTTTAAAATCTTAAAGCTGTCAAAACATATGATTTTAATAATTATGTAAGCATGTCAGAAAGTTTCATTTTTCAAAAAAAAGTTTTTTCCTTAAGAATATTTGTTTTTCAAAACTTTTTATTTAAAAATAAAATAAACAAAATGAGTTCACACATGGTTTTTTCTAAGTTTCACTCTTTTATAATCCAAAATCAGAAATTTCCGTTTTAAGTATAACCAAATAATATTTGCTTATGTTTGATAAATATTTTTAAATTTAACGGTTATCACCTATTTATAAAGTTTTTGAAAGTTCTTTCAACTTTTCCGTTTGATTTTTTTTTTGAAATGAGATTTTTTTTCTCTTTGCCAGAAATTACTCCACTGTTTTTCCTTTTTGAAGTTTTCTCAAATTTTGTACCAGACAGGTCTATTGTTTAATTATTTTGGTTCTCGTATTTACATAAGTATTTAAATACGAGAACCAAATTATATATAGTAATTTATTGATGTAGTACAGTATAACCCTCTAATAAGAAATCTTCTTAAAAAAACCTCCGCTTTAAGTAAACATTTTATCATGTACTTGTCACTTTTCATAAACTTCAATATCTCTTTACACTCGCTTTTATAGAGCGGAATTGGACAAAAGCGGAATTAAAATAAAATGAAAATTCCGAATCAGTTTAAATTAATAGTATATTTTACAATATCAAATTCAAAATACTTTTTGTATATTATATTTTGGGAATAAGGTTTCTATTTGATTAAACATACATGTTTATTTAAAAACAAAAATTTGCATTCGAATCTCCTTTAAGAGTATACCTTTCAAAGGAAACTTTGAAAGGTATCCTCTTATAAGAAACAAAATGTTAAGCAATGGGAAGTTATGTGGGTTATACAGTATGAAAAAAAAATTAATGTTGTTTTTTTTTATCCAATCTTGCACATGTTAGCAATATATATATACATATCTGCTTT